CTTCACATCCCAACTTTAAATAAACATTAAATTAGGCCAAGATAAATCAAGCTGTCCGTCTGTGTTAATGGAACAGATATTTTCTCTCCACGGTAAAGATAGCAAACGATCATGCTGGGTAGTATGGCAACATGCGAGTGTGAGCCAGTGGCATCATATTTTCAGACTGTGCTTTGGAGTGCGGAAACAGGTCTCAAAGGAGATACTTGATACGTTGTCAAGGAATATTCTGATTTTGACCCTGTCACATGAACTGCTAGTTTGTCGTGAAAGTGTTTAGGTCACGACTAGTGTTGATAGCAACTGCATGACGAGGCTCAGATCCAGTCTACCGTCGCCCATGAGAGTTGGCCTGTCTTGCCCTGTAGGCAGCTCTAGCTCCAATTACCCTGGCCAATGTGCTGTAGAACTGTGTCACTGTGAATTATACATGGCCTTTGTTCATCCTTAACCCAAGAGCACTGGAGACAGCAGTGGATCATGTTTACACTCATCCTTCCACTGAAACATTCATGAACTTCACTGTTGGCTAAAAACTAGACATTTAAATGGTGCTAATTCTTTTTTTTTTTAATGGAAAAGTTTAAATATATGACTAATCAGCTGACTTGCACATCAAATTTTTTTTTCTGTCCAAAAAGTCCTGAATTGATGCACCTTCCAAGCACTCATCATGCTGGCCTGCAGTAATCACTGTTATGCAAACACGAAATTGCGCTGTACTGTGAACTCGAAATCACAGGGGAAATCAAGAGGTGAAAAATGAAATGGGAATCCAGTTTACAGCATGGGCTCTTCAGCTGCTACATTATGCAGGTCTTAACCAAAGAAGTCATTGATACCTAGGGAAAACATAAAATAGCACTACAATTTTTCTTTATTTACAAGTTTGAAATTAGTTTGAGCTAGAGCGACAGACAGAAAGAGAGATACTTTATTAGTGCTCTATATTAATTCCTATATTAAGGATTTCTGATTTAAAATTTAGCGAAATGCTTTTTCCTGCAGCAGTCTAGCTTCTGTGGTCTTTGTTGAATTGCTAAGAAAACAAAAACACATTCTTCAGTGTTTCTAGGTCCTCTGTTTATTGGAACAAAACCAAGGGAGCTACACTGATTTTCAGCTGGACTTTCTTTTTCACCTTCGTGTTTCATGCCTTGTTTCCCCTGCTCTCTCAACATCATTTTGTGGCTTATCATCTGCGTAGCTGGAGCAGACTATGACTTGGTACTCGGATGGTACTTTCATCACGGCTCCCGTTATCACATGATACTAGTACACTTCCAGTAGCAGCTGCGTTTTTTTATGTCGTCATGCAAATGATGTTATCACAAGCTATTTGCATAGAGTTGCACATAATTGTTTGCTTGTTTTTCTATTCTACCCTTTTTGCAGTAACACCACTCAGCTTCAGTCTGAAGCCACATGACAGTGAATATTAAAATGAGTATGTAGTGTTTAATTGGGATACCACTGGAGTAGCCTTAGCCCTTCTGTTTTTAATATTATTGAGCTCTTGCTGGTAAGAGAGACAACATTCTCAAATTTAAAAACTATTTTTTGTAGCTACTTACCTGATTTGCTGCTTGATTAAAAAAAAAGACATGAGGATGCAACACCCACAAGTGTGAAAAGAGCGCACTAATGGAGAATTTAAATTCTACTTTCTGTCTCTGTAACTGATTTTCTCTGAGATGAGTGAGACATTAAGTGGAAACGCTGATGATGGTTGTTAGAGTTGATACATATTGAAACGCTTACCAAGTCAAGCTCATTCACTAATGAGTGTCCATCTGTTTATTGTGTAACCACTTCCAATACAGCATTTCAGAGACTAGGTCATTGCATTTTTCCATGATCGAGGGCTCAGCCATTACGTTAATTAGGTCTGGCAGTTTGATTCCTGCATGTGTGAACCGTGTTTGTAAGTCCAATTCACTATAACCACAAATTCTCCTGCAATATGTTCTTAACTTCTTTATATTTGTATGAGAAAACTTAGTTATGTAAAATAAACTTCTGCTCACTTCAAAAAACACATTCAAGGTGTTAGTGACATACATGAACATAACAACACATATAATCCACAGACAGTATTTTGGTAGCTGTGTAGTTCTATCATGCGAAACACAAAGCCGCTTCTATATACTAAACACAGAATAAGACAGCAACTTGTTTGGAAAGATATTTTCAGTTCAGTTACTTGTCCTGTGTGACTGGTACTAATTTGCATTGTTTTCCAATAGACTATAATAAAGTATAATTAGTATCCCTTTCACCAAGATATTATTTATCTTGGTCTTATTAACACTAGAAAGTAAATTCCAGACATGATAAAATATTAAAAAAGACTGAGCATAGACTAGTTTAAAGTCTTTACTATTAGGTTTGACTGTGCGTTTTGTCCAAGCTGCTGGGGCCAGAAAACAAACACTTTCTGATGGGAATATAAAAGCTGCTGATGAGGTGAGATAAGCATTACGAACTGAATTTGAGAGTGTGTTTTGGGGCCAGTTGGCAGTCATGACAGCAGCTTGGCCAGGCCTTTGGCTTTTTCTTTGTTGTTGATGTCTGTCTGGCCAGCTTTTGCCTTGGTCCAGACCTCTGAATCAGTCCAATCGACTGTGTTGACTGATTCATCTGGCATCGTGACATACAAACAAACAATGTTTTTTATTGAAAAAGCAAAGAGTGCCATGGGATCTCTAACGATTAACCATTAGCCCCTTAAAAAAGCATTAAGTTCAGGTGGAGACATTGGTCTCTAGTGATTGATAAGGGAAATTCAAATCACCTTGTCCCACAGAAATTGGTTAGAATGGAGGTAATGTCGACTGGAGATGGAAATAAAGTGTGATGTGTGATATTAGGTAAGGCCAGCGCTGCTAATGCAATTCATTATCCCCGGGAGTTGACAACACATAGAGCCTGTGATTAATGCATTTGCAAACTCCTGCTTGGGGGAATTGGGTAATCTTGCCAGTTTATCAACTTTGCTTCCTCACAGGCCTAAACTTGCAAATTTGGGGCAAATGAAAAAAGAACACAGAAGCAGAATCAATAGCTTGGTACACCATGGCCTAAATGTATATTCGAAGTTTGCTTTTGTGAGGTGTCAGCAGTTTGTAACAGCCAGCCACTTTGGGAGGGAGCTGAATTAGAGTGTTACCCAGTCAGTTCACAATTTTAGAGAGGGTTATTTTACACATAAGGCATAAGGGCAGGCTGGCATTGATTTGGACTACATCTTTTAATAATTAACCATGGATTTCATTACAGAATAGGAATTCTGGAAAGGATATCCACTATCTGAATATCCTGTCTGCACAAGAGGGCAAGGTAGAACATCAGCTGGCAGGGTGAGGGGGGTTGGGTGTTACCCGACTGTCTGACAAAATATTAATGTCAAACCCAAATCATTGTCTTTTCTTAAACCATATGAGTATTTTGGGGCTTTAACCAGAACAAACAGCAATTGAAAAATAATCTAGTTGTCAAAAATATAATGAAATGAAATAAACTGAACAATAACTAAGCTACATCTAAAAACAAGGTATACATGCAGGAAACACAATTGAGTTTCTTTTAAAACAAACTATCTAAGGTCATACTGCCTTAAAAAAGGTTCCAGCTTTGGAAATTTTAAAACACTCATGTGGATGTGCGCATGTTTTTTTTCTGCAAACACTCATATCTTCTTTCTCTCGGTTAACCTATTCAAGAGACGAGAGCAAGTTTACAACCCCCATCTTGAACCACACTGTTATTCAGGCTTTTGATAAAACATGTTTCTTTGTTTATGCAGGGCAACATTTTACACCCTAACACTAACTGTACACCTTCATTTTTAAACCCAATAAACTGTTCATGAACATTTTGTGGCGTATTCACAGGTTTGGTTGCTTTTTTGTTTTTAAATACACCCACATTCAAACAAAGTTCTCAGAAGATGTACAGCACAGTTTAAAGTTCATGTACTGTCAGATTTGTTTATTTTAGCTTTTTGATCGAGTGCAGTAGTCTTCTCTTTTGAGAAACCTTCTGTCTCTTATGTGAGAATGTTGATTGCGATTAAGATATTTTATATAGCCTGATAAACAGAATGCCAAACAATGGTAATGTGTTCTGTTTTATCTGGGACATACCATGCAACTCCCTTTAGAATACATTAGCTCTGCTTTCATGATGTAAGAAGATCTTACCCTGCGTATAATACTTCTGAAAGGACATGGTGACCCCCTTTGTCTTGTTTTATTCCTCAGATAAGCATGCACACATGGAGATTGCCTTGTAAAGCCTCCAAAACTTCAGTCCTGTTATCTAACTCAACGCTGCAGGCTAAATCACAGTGGTAGACAGCGTGTGTATATTATGAGCCTTAAAATTCACATGGATAGAGCAATCAGCACAGGAACAGGAGGAAGAGTCTGATTTTCAGTGGCATAGAAAAAGGTTACATGGCTGAAATATTGTCAACTAAATAGTAAATATTATGCGAGAATTATATATATTATCTTAAATATTATATAGCCAATATAAATATAAGCCACAAATGAATGCTGATGATTACACGGGATATAGGTCAGGCTTATCTACATATTCAAATGTGAAACCATTAGAAAAGCAAGTTAGATTCTTAATGTGAGTTGTTTAATTTCTCTTTACAAATCAGACAATATTGCATTTCAAGTTGCTTTCTATAACAATTGATTAACTTTATACACACACTATCCTCGCAGTTTTCACTTTCAAATGAGTGCTATTGTTTCGTATTACACACTTGGTCTCACACATTATAGGCTGTGGGGGTGGAGGGAAAAAAAGACACAAAATTAGAACAAGGGAGAGGGAGGGGGGTTTCCTCTCCTACAGGGAAAACATAAATAGACCAGAGAAGTGTTGTGGTAATGGATTTTCCATAATACTGTTGAATGTTGTAAAGAGATATGGTTTATTTGGGTCAAACACATGAAGAGAAAATGGCTCTTTTTGTTACTTACCATTTGGAAGCTTATTACTGTTCTCCGTTAGCCATGCAAACAGGTTGGCAAAGTTGCAATTGCACACCCAGGGGTTGCCCTCAAGCCTCACTACCCGCAGGGAGGGCAACTGACTCAATGCCCCCACCTTTAGGGTAGACAGCGCATTACGCTCCAGTTCAAGTTCTCTCAGAGAGGTGAGGCCCAGGAAAGCATCCTCACTCACCTTGCTCAGATATGGGTTGTTTCCCAGTCGTAGTTTGATCAAACTCCGAGACTCTCCAAATGTCCCCTTAGGGATTTCAGTCAAATTGTTGCTGCCAAGGTCCAGGAAGACCAGCCTGGAAGAGGTGCTGAGAGTCCCTTGTTCTATGTGGGAAAGGGAGTTGTTCCGGAGGTCCAGATAGACCAAGTCACTGTATAGAACCAGAAAGTCAGAGGGGATACGGTTTATCCAGTTGTCGGCCAGCAAAAGCCTCCGCACATCCAAGGGGATCTCATCGGGTAAACTGGTTAGCCCACGGCCACTGCAGTCCACAGTGTGAGGATCTGGGCACAAGCAGGTTGTTGGGCAGTTCTCCCCCCGGGTCCATAAGACAGAGGACAGCAAGATGAGGATAAGCTGAAGCCAGCAGACACATGGCAACATGGTCAAGGGGGGGAAATGAGTTAGGGGAGAAAGAGGCTTGGGGTTAGGACAAATAGGAGAGGGTGGTTTGGGGTTAGGAACAAGAGGATGAGGGTCAGAGGGCAGGAGATCAGGACAAGGGAGGGAAAGGGGTGACTGAAGGGGGTGAAGGGGATCAATCCTCCTGGAGAAACATCCTTTTGTTATGGAGATGAATTTCTGGAAGGGCTCAGGAATTGGGAGATGGCAGAGCAGCGTTGAAAGCTGCTTTCCAAGGGATCATGTAGCGAGCTGCCTGGATAAAATAATAGCCTGCCTGCTTTGAATGAGGAAAGACAGGAGGATAGTAAGCAGTAGGTAGCTTGAAAGCAAGAACGACTGCTTCTAACACCGAGGGGAGGGTAGAATGAGAGTGGTAAATAGACACGAGCGAGCAGGGAATGAAGAGACGTCGGGGGCACAGACAAGGGAGAGGGGGGTTGAGGAGGAGGCTCTGTCCGCCACACTACCCCACAGTTGATCTGGCGGCAGTGACAGACAAAGACAATAAGGTCTCTGACACAAAAGGATATAATACAAAGCTCTGATTCAAGCATGACAAGCAAAGAGTAACATCGTTACATCCCTCCATTGGACCCAGGTCTCTGTATAGGAAAGCCCGTTGGTCTGATGAGAGAAAGAGAGAAGCTCACGGAACATTGCTCAAGTGTTCGTAAGGTTGTCTCCCCTTATTATTCCTTCTCTATCTCCCAGTGCCCTGCAACATGCTGTGTTACGCTGTCAAGCCCTGCATCAAAGCTGTGTGAGAGAGAATCCAAATATCCAGGCAGAAGCCTCGTGAATGTAGATTGCAGTGCTGAGCTGCACACAGCCATGCCAATCCAACGTCTGCCTCTGAATCTACCACAGTTTATCACATGCCCTCTCCCCTCTCATTATTTCCAGGGGGCGTGCCTGAACCACGCTGTCAACACGTGATGTCACTTCCTATAGTGTTAAAAATGATGATTGGTTGTATCTAAAAGTATAAAATTTGAAAGATGTGATGCTGTTTATTTTAATTGGCATTTATGTGCCCTTAAAGACATATCCAGGAAAAAATATCTATCATGTTATATACTTTTAGAAATCTATAAATTTTTTTAAATTTAGCAATGAACATGCAGATATATCGATAGACAGACAGATGTATAAATATATAGAAGTGTAAACACATTGGTCTTTATTTATGTATATTTATGTTCCTGTAGTATTTTGTTTCTACAATGAACATGAGCACAGTTTTGGTGTAGTGTTAAAATGCCCTTGCAGATCACCTGTTCTCTTGAAAGGAAAGTTTATTAATTATTTAGCTTTTCAATTTATACATATTTATAACATCAGTATCTGAGGTGCATTCAAGTCTCAACCCATAACGTAAAGAAGAGGATTAATTCTGAGCGTGTATTGAATTCAACAAATGGGATTTTCTCTAACAGGTAAATGTAATTAGACCACGGTTGTTGCAGGGTCATGGCAAATTAGACCTGTGGAGAATGAGGGTCACGTGAAATGTCTAAGAAAGTGGCTTTGTCATGCATGAAATGTCAGTGTCTATTTCCAAGATGATAACAGATTCACACACTGGTTCACAAGTTTAACAAAAACTGGCCATGCACACACCTGCCCATAATAACAGGAAGATGACAGTAACATCTAACTCATTTCATCACAGAAGATCTAATAATAACTCTTTGCTCAAACTTTGCATTCACTGAAATGTCTGCAGCGGCATCGTGTTGACAGGGGTGAAAGGCTCTCTCATCAAAAAGGGATATTTTTTGCACAGTTAGCATATAAGAGCTGTAAAACTCTAAAAGCTGAGGCAGCGTAAATTGTCTTCTGTAAACACATTTCAGCTTTACATCTCACTGAGAGAATTTAATGGCACTGCTGTTTTTCACAGTATGATGAAATATTTTCTGTCTCATGGACAGTTTGATGCTTTTCTAAGAAACAGTTTCCTACACTGGAACATACTGATACAGTTGACTGCTCCATGTCCATTTTACTGCTGTTGTATTCAAATAAATATAGTGATATAAGTGATAAGGAAAAACTGTAAATCCCATATTTGGATCTGTAGATCATTCCTGACCTAAAGAAGTCTGTTATAAATAAATCAGCTGTTTCCACAATGTAGAAGTTTATAAATATCCAACCACCCATTTTCTCCAAATTATCCAGTTCCAGACATGTCAGTTTAAACAAAGAAACCCAAACCTCACTCCCCTGGCCACCTTCTCCAGCTCATCCAGGGGACACCAAGGCATTCCCCAGCCAGCATTTTCCAGTATGTCCTGAGTCTGCCCTGTTGCTTGTCAAAGCTACAAAACACATGTAGACTGGTTGGGCAAACTTCAGCAGACCTTTAAATATCCTGGAGAGGATTAAGAGCTGGTCAAGTGTTCTGTAACCTGGTTGAAAACTGCGATCCCCCTCCGTGCAGACCATTCCAGGGAGGCTGAGGAATGTGATTTTACTATGTAACCATAGATCAATTTCTTTCTTTTTTATGATGGTTTACAAAGATCTGGATATATATGGAAGCAGTGATTAAGTTATGTAATGTTTGTTGTCATTCCACACCTGCCCACCAGCTGTCACTAGAGAGTTTCACATCTTACCTCAGTAGTTTCATGTACCTGAGATACTTTCCATATGCATTAAAGTTCAAAATAAGGCTGTTGAAAGACAAACATAGCCTTCTGCTCTTAAAAGTGAAGCCAGTAAGAAATGCCTTAAACCTGCATTCATTCAGAAAAGAAGAGTCCTCTGGCTGCAACTAAGAGAAAATAACCCCACTCTTCACTTGAATTATAACTTCAGTAAACATTTTCATAATTAATTGATAGCTGCTTCAGCCCAGCACAATGTCCATTTTTCCCCCATTATGTTTCCACTTAGAGTAAAACAGGGAATACTTTATGGTGTGCTCACCTCTGCACTATCCTTTCAATCTCCCTTCAGATTCTGCCTTTGCATAAAACACTTCTCAGTTAAAAAAAAAAAAAACACTAGTATTTTGTTTTTACTTGCTTACATTTTGGTTTCTATACGTTTTATCCTCAAATGTTTATTTATTGGTGCTGTCTTTTCACCTATGTTCGTTTTAGACTTATCATCCATGTGTGATGTGATTTCCAGTGTTTGAGTAGTTAAACGTGTTAAGGTTTAGCTGGCAACAGGCCACCATGACCAAGACCGAATGCAGGCCCCTGTTCCTGCTCGTGGTATCTGATCCAGTGATACAGGTTATTTATCACAGCAAAAACATTTTAATTCATGCGAAAGTGTTGATAATTGTTCATTCACTCCTGAATGAAATACAAGTGATGGGCATGCATTTTGTATTGGGCTGACATTCTTCTGTTCATGCCCTTTTGTTAGTTAAATGACTAATGCTTGAACTGATATTAGTCATTCAGTTGTAGTGGTGTTTTTTTCCTTATTGTTGTATTTTTGTCTCACAGCTGCAAGAGCGTAACTGCCTGCTGATTTATTGCCAAGCAGTTCAGAAGAAATGGGCTTTTAGACATTTAGAATGGAGATGGTTCACATTGAAATTCAGCTAGAGCAATGCCACCAGTGAGTTTAATGGCCACTCTGTTGCTGAGGGCAGTCATGCAGATGCCCAATCCTCAAACGTGATCCCCAGAGTCTCTTGACAGCCATTTGACAGTGTAAAAAGCCCTGAAATGTTTGTATGGGTGTAGTAGACCTTTTAGTCTGTCATGCATTCATAAAAAAGCTACATTCAAGATAAGCCTATCTCTTCTCTAATATCAGTGATGATTAATGGCAAAAATATAAATAACATTGTAACATTGTGAAATAAAGGTTGGGTTTTTTTGTGGTGGTGGGGGTGGGGAGGTGGGGGGTACTACATATTGTTAACCATGATCTTTTACCCTTCTTTTCATTGAAAAGGGTACAAAAAAGATTGAATAACTGAGAAAAGCTCTGTCATATTATTCTGTATCTATCAGTATTGACCACAGATACGTCAGTGGATTGATCTTATAGTGAACCAGCAGTGTATAAGGCTCCAAGGCAAAGAAAAACTGCTTTGACACTAATGTTGTCTAACTGAATTTTTGTGCATCTATTCATGTTTTAGAAATATTATGTTGCTCTTAAGCCTCTGGGAATACTGAAAATTCCTTGTTTCCCTTCACTTTGTTCTCTTTTAACCTTGAAAACCTGAGAAAAACAATTTAATATTGAGTGTCCACAAGAGGAATGGATAGAGCAAAGCTTTCTCAACAGATGCTTGCACAAATTGATTTTCTAGTCTCGCACCAATGACACGTAACTTAAGTGTTAAAAGTATTGTACATGTATCAGGGAGGGAAGAACAAGCCTGTGGTTGACATTTTAGTGACCTTGTCACTGGTGACGCAGCATTAATCCAGGTTTACACAGCTGATGTGCCCACTGGATTTCATGTGTACTGCATAAAAGTACAATTATCCTGAGCAATTGTTTACTTACGCATTAAAAACACCAATTTTTAATCTTCTGAAAGACCATACAGAAATACATACAGAACACACATCAAGAGTTCAAGGAGCAGATGTGCTGATGTTCAATATTCAAGTTGACATTAGCCGGTGCTTTGGGGTTAGTTTGTGTCAGAGCAACCTTGCTTATGGGGGTTTGGTAGCAAAAGGGACAGGCAATCACATTTCTCAAGGGGCCACATGTGAAACTAGGGCTGCACCAATAAGCTAAACTCAATTCTGCTCAGTATTAATTTTAATTCTTTAAAGCTTATTTGGTTCAGTTTCTCGTGTCATGTCACTATCAGCTCTGTTGAACACTGAGCAGTTGTCAAGGAGCAGTTAAGATTTAGGGTCTTGTTTAAGGATAGTAATGAAACAGGGGAAAGCAATATAACACATTACAGTCCTGACTGTTTAAACTGGTTTGTGCCTCTGTAATCTTGTAGCCTTTTTTAGTTGGCTAAACTTACACCAAAGAATTTAAAGCCATTTTTCACACAGTATTTTTTGTGCACGATGCCATTACCAAGATGGGAACTTGTTTACTTCCTCATATTTATATGGATCAGTGTAGATTGTACTGCTAGTATACAGATGATACAGTACAGCACGTGGATTAACATATGCCATGTAATTTACACCATGACATGTATCACTGCAAAAGCAAAATAACATTGTCACACTCAGTTTGTATAAGGAATGATGTTCATCACAGTTTAATCTCTGCCTTGTTGTTGCTAAAATTAACCAACTGACCAAATGCATCTGCTTATGAAGACAAATTAATCCCATGCCAGATGCAGATTAGATAAAAAGGGGGGTGGGGGTGGGGGCGTAGTCCTATGTCAGGGGTTGTAAATGAAAGAAAGACAGCCATGGTTGCAGGATAATACACATGTGAGGATTAGTGTAGGTTAAGGCAGGCTTCAGAAAATTAATCTTTCCAGGGCTTCTGGCTTCTGAAAATTACATAACAGCTAACGTACACACCTGAATATACAAAGGTTATCTTAATAAATATAGTAGTTCTTGTGGCATTGGACAGACCTGAGATTTCTCTCACAATTACATGTGTACATGACAAACTTTGTAAGCATATGTATTCAGGTTAAGAGGCCTTGAGGCTTACTTTGAGCCCTCTTCTTACTCTAGCTCCATTAGGTGGTTGATTTTCTGCCCCTATACCCACCTCTGAGCAAGAATGAAAGAAGTGTAAACAGAGAGTGAAATGCTAACAAAACGAAAAAAGAAGGGGGGGAAAGCAACCCTGCAGGTTATTTTTTTGTGTGTGTCACAACCATTATAAGTCAACAGTGGTGCTCCCAGCACGCTGAGTAAATGTGGGCC